AAGCAACCATTGCAAAGCCAACATTCACTCATATGGCTATCAAAGTTTTGGTAGATGAAGGATATGTACGTACCAACTTAATAGTATGAATTTGAGTTTCCTTTAAACTTGTTCTTGAATCCCATGTAATTGCCTTTGATTCAATAAAATTGTCTTAATTGTAGGATCTTTACTATGAACACTTAAACTGATGAATTTATACTAACTATGATAAAAAGATTCACTGTAGATAGCGTTCTTGAAGTATGTGTACCAACTGATATACCCTAAGGGGATGGCTGCAATTATATAAAAGTGTTTACTTGAGATGTATGTTAATTCAGAAAATATTCATAGCACAAAGTTTTGTTGTATAAGGATTTTCTTTCTCACTAGTTGAGTTACTACCGTTCAAATAAAATCAAGTTCTTTTCACACTTTTTAGTTGGAATTATAGGCTTTAATGAAATGTTCACTATGTGGTTTAAAGTTGCGCTAAAATGTTATAATAAAAGCTCTCTTGTAGAGACTTTGATTCCATAAAATGATTGTTGTTGCAGCTGTTACCTGAAAATTTCTGTCAGCCTAAGATGTGAAGCATTACTCTGATATGACATCTTAGTTTGCTGTTCTGTTTGATATAAGCTATTGTTGAAAGCTACGATGTGCAGTTGACTGTAATGTTTGAAATACGCAGGGTGTTATCTTGTTGGTAGAAATAATCAGCAGTGGTCGCATAAAAAGCAGGTTGTATGATCGGTACTTTTACACTGAAAGAGGTTAAGTGAACAGTTTAAATTTCTTTGGGCTTTACATATTCTTTACCCCTGAGAAGTGAAAGCTGTGAATTAGCCAAATATGCTGTTTTATGGTATGATCGTTGAACTTTCGGTATTAAAAGGCAGCACCCATGTAATTCCCATTTGGCCAAGAGAGAAGTAGTTTGCCATCATATCTATATTCATCTAGCAAAATGACTTTGTCGTCAACATCTGTTCAACCCCTCTAGCATGGTGGACTTCGTAGATAGACATTCCAAACAGCCTAATTTGACTGTTACTGTAATTAACACATGTATGCAAAATGAGGCTTTTTTTATCTCAAAATCCTCTTCAGCATTTCTCTATTTTGTGTCAGTGATCATTTTGCTACCTAACTGTAAAGGTATTTATCAGTCTAAATGCTCACAAGACTAAATTTGTACCTAGGGTTTGTCACTAGCTGTATAAATGTTTCAGCAAACAATAAAATGTGGAATTAACTTTTTTGTTTCTTCATCAGAACTTCACTTACTGTTGACATTAGCAGTCATATTGAACTGATTGACTAATTGCTAAGTTGATGATTAACAAAAACTTTTGTCTCTGTATAATCTCAGGTTCGACATGTCGTTTCTCAAAATGTTGATGGCTTACATGTGCGCAGTGGTTTAGATCGTGAAAAACTTTCGGAGCTACATGGTAATTTATTCATTGAAGTGAGTGCACTTGCACTTATGTATAAACCAATTTATTTTTGAACAAACTATTTTATGTGTCTGTCTCTGGTGCTAAAATCGACTGTTTTGTGTTTCGACACTCGAATTTTGAATCAGAGTACACAGTACCCACTGAGGTTTAAACTGCTAGTTGTTATCATATTAAGCATTACAAAATAAAGGTGGCTTATTGCCTTATCCATAAATATCTATTGAGGTGTTTAATTAGGTTTCTTAATTTCAAGTCTCTTGATAAGAAAAGTTAATAAACTGCAAACAGATAAATGTTCAGTCCACGAAGAACCATTTTCGACCCACTCAAAAGTTAGACACATCGATAATGATAGTTCTCAATCTTAATGATAAAACCTTTTGTGCTATCTAGAGTTTGCCATTTAATCGCAAATTACATAGCATCAGTCCACCAGTACTCACAGAACGCTGTTTTTAGGTAGTTGTTAGAATAAAATTCGTCAATTATGTACTAATTAGAGTAGTGAGTTGTACTTGTCACTTGAAGTCGAAATGAGGCATTACTAGTATAAATAGGTCGTCTATACTGTCTTCAAAACTTGGGTAAGATGTAGTTACTTTTTCAAGTATGTGTCTAACCAATACTCAGTAACTGAATAGAGGTTCATATTTTAAGATATGAATTACATCTTACAACAATTGATCACTTAATTGTAATATGTGAGTCTACAGTTAGAATTTAAATACATAGACCAGCGAATTAAAATACGGTACTTCTGGTTTTCGCATATATATCGCTGTTTTTCTTCTGTGTGAGTTTTTTAAATTATTTCATCTTTCGTCTAATTATTTATATGGTGTGTTTTGTCAAACAAATGAATAAAGTGCTTTATAGTATAAATCATACTTTGCCTTGATATTTCTTATTGTAGCAATGCATCGCTTGTGAACACACTGTTTTTCGGACTTTTGACGTTGCCGAAACAACTTCTCGTTCACACCATTATACTGGACGCATTTGTCCTCGGTGTCGTACTTTACACCCTGTTGAAAGTACAATAGCCAGTGATATACTAAAGAAAACAGCTGAACATTTGGCAGTATCTAAATACAAGAAAAATATATCAAGTGAAAATCTTATGTTGAGTTACCGATATGCTGCAAGAAAATTAGCCAAATCTTTTGAAGCTGTACGTCTTAAAGCAGTGGAACATTTACGCAATACTCAAAAGTCTGAGATGCTGACAGACTCAGTTCTTACGAAGGCACCTTTATTAAGAGATGTTGTTGTACACTTTTTTGAACGACAACCAGAGATGGGGTTAACAGAAATATATCGCATTCGATCAGCGATCGAAGCTGTACATGGCCGTAAAGTTCTTCAAGATGCTATCAATGCCACTTCGAATGACCGTAAACCTTTGAATCATGGATGCAAACGTTCCCATGAAGAGTCAACAAAATATCTCATTGGATCCCCATGGTTTAAAAGAATGCGTCCTGCTATGAAGATGGAATGTCAGGATTTTTGTAAAACATCAGAAGCAGTTGATTTAAAACCTATCTCTCCGGATTCTCTGGATACTCCTGCTAAATTAATTGTTGTTGTTGGTTCATCTTTAACTGTTTTGCGCAATTATTCATTTTTATGGCCTTATGGCCTTGGGAGGTGCGGTCAAATAAGTTCGTCGAGCAAACGTAAAAAGAAACCCACATGTGTTGATTCTGTTTTCAAACCGACTTCAATCCCTGATACCCCTGAAAATTGTCGGTTGGTTATTATCAATTTACAACCAACGTGCAAAGATGTGGTTGCTGATTTGGTACTTCGAGTTCCTTGTGATGAACTATTTCGCGTTATTATGTCAGATCACTTGGAAATAGATGTTCCACAATATGACCACAGGCATGATCCTCTTTATTCAATCGGTCTTTCTTTATCTCCAGAAGAAGAATGCACACGTACTCGTTTGAACATCCCATTTTCTTCCGTATAATATTGTTTCAAAATTTTTCACTCTGGTGTACAGTTTCACATGATTTGGTTGTAGCTATTGGTTACTATTTCGTTCTTTAGACGTAGAATAAACATTTCTCTTTTGTACTCAAAACAAGAATCAGTACCTTTGTAAATAATAAGGTGCATTTCCATAATTAAAAGAACCTAATAGAATTACATCGTGTCATAGTAGTTTATTTGCTCTCGAATTAAACATGGATTCGTAACACCAATCGATCAATTCCTGAATACTAAAAAGTACATTTCACTTTTGGCTCTAGTTGAGATTATTTTCTTTTTTCACTCCTGATCTTTAGCCCGTCCCTTTTTTGTATAAAATTCTTTTATTTATAGTATTTTTTTCATATTAAGGAGAACTAAGAGACAAGATAAATATTATCGTGGTGAACTTCATAAAACGCTATTGATCCAATATTGAGATGTCTACTACGGGAATCGAAGTGTTTCAGGTAGAATTCTGCCGAATTCTTCGTATTTTGAATATCAAAGACCTTGGTCGCACCGCACTAGGTATATTTTTTTCATATTTTTACTCAGTTCAATAGTTCAAGAAGTTAATTCGTTAGTGTCTTGAATATGTAGCTACGGCATCTGAAATGTCCTAGTTTACTTAATAAGTTTTTGATGTTATTGGATAATTCGTGGTTTTGTAAGATCAGCAGCTTAGTGATCAAAACACTGGTCCCAACCATAAATCTCAGATTCGAAGCACCCTCCACCTACTTCAACTTTTACAACAGAGGTATTATTATTTCCCGTCTTCTCACACATACAAACAATATGCCTGAAAACGGAGTGAATAAACCCGTACTTGGTAGATGGATTACTTACTTTAATAATTATTTCCTTCCACGTTACATGATGAAGTGAACTATCTTAATGTCAGACGCTAAAAATAGTTTGTTTGTGTTCCATCGATTTAAGGTTGTAAACGGTTGCGAAAAGAAAATTTGGAGACTGATTGTACATAGGTTCTTATTTTGTTGTTGATAGTTTCTACATTATAAACCTTTCCGCTAGCGGTTGCCAATTCTAAATTGCTTACTGACAGTCTTAACCATTTCGATGATATCTTGATAAATGTTTAAACTTCCAGTTAACAGGAATCAGTTGTATATATTTCCGTAAAATATGCCTAGTTCACACTTGTTACTTGCATGTTTATCATGTATACATCTTGTTAACTAGTTTGCACTTCTTACATGTTTCGTTTTTTGGGTTCGTATTTTTCTTAAGTTTTAAAGACAATAAATTAACAATCAGAAAGTTATAAACAAAGAATATTACCGAATATATTCATTATATAAAGGAAACATTTTTTAAAATGAAAAAAGATACCTTTGACTTGCAGCTTAGTGACTGTGTCATGTTAGTAGATACAAACTCCTCGATAAGGGTCGACGCGATTATCGCAACCAGTTGTCGTAGAAGTTGGGTAACATAGTCCAAGATCCGTCGCACTAATGTGGATGCATTCACTCGTTTTCTTTTGTTAGACCTCAAGTTTCAAAATTATCATACATTTTATTGTATTATTCTTCTTCAACTTTATCCTTCTCGAATCGTATTGACTATGCCCGATCTTATCTACTACTACTGGTATTACACATTATTCTAGGATTTATCGTAATTTCATCTCGTGCTAATGTGGTGTGGTAGTTTGGACGAATGCACATATGTCAGATTCTATTTCGCGCAATGCTGACTGATAGCTCAATGACCAATTACCAGTGATTTTGACCAAAATATGATCTGAACCGTTAATGTTAGGGTTATATACACTGCCGTATGTGGGATTCAGTCCTGTAGGTAAGTCGCTTACAATCAAGAACTCAGTCATGATCTAGATGATATCTGGTGCTGTTAAAGGAACTACTTCATAAGTTTAACAAAAAAGCATTAACTTTGTTTTAAATTCAACTTAGATATAGTTTGATTTTAAGGTCATATTTTATATCTGTTCAGAATGAATTAAAACTTCAAAATTAAGTGTTACATTTATATGATATGTTAAATGCAAAGTTTTGTTTGATCGTGGTGCAATAAGAATGTCGTTACACACACCACCTGCAATAATTTAGGTTTGTATTAGCTAATTTAACTAAAGTATCACAGCATACGATAAAGTAAGCAAACAGAATGTTAACATCGTGACAGAAACTGAAGGTCTATCACCAGTATTACACCAGTCTTTGGAGCAAGTCGCAATGCATCCGTGATATAAGTCATCATCTAATTGAAATTGTCCACAGTGAGTTGGTATGTCGGTTAGTTTATCCATAGAACATCTCCGTATCAGTAAACTGGAACCGTCTTTCTGGCGAATACCCTTTATTTTTGTGCAGTAGTGGGCATAAAACAAACCTTCATGTCCAGGTATCGTTTGACGACATGGTCGTTGAATCGTGATATGAGCACTGACTGGATCCTCACATGGTGGGTTACTTTTGTTCATTGACACACAAGAATAACAGGCGATTGCTGTTGCTGTGGAGTTTTTATTAAGAGAAATGCAGCAAGCTTTTATTATATGACATGATGAATGCGTTACATATTTTTAATTACAAAAGGAACGTTTAGTTATCGTCATTATCTTCCTTTCCACATAGTTTCTCTGGTTTTGCAGCTTTTATTGGTATTTAATTAGCTTTCTTAGTAACAAAGTATAGCTTATTTGATAAATTCTCAGTGCATCTTCAAAACTTACATCAGGGAATATACTGGAGTTAACTGATTACCGGTCGGACTAATTAATTCTATGTACATGTTCATTGTGTTATCACTTAGTTTTGTTATGATGCATTAGGTCTTCTCACTAATCATCATACCAAGGCTTCATTGCCTATTTAATCGTTTGAAAGTTGTTCAAAGTGAAGTGGCAGCGAAAACACAAGTCAACTGCAGCTATATACGTGCAACTGTTTGGATTTGTAGTGTACTAACTAAACACAACTTCTGATTGTAGTTAGTATATGTATCTAGTAATATGACTCGTTTGCTATTAATAAGTTGGCTACTTAAAGCAAGTGATACCAGTACATCATAGACTACTGTTTTTCTCGTGAACTGAAAGATCCTTCAAAAATTACTAATGGTCAGATCAGAGCGCTGGACAACTTGACATTCGTCTTTGCTCATTTTAACTTTTTGAAGTTAAATATATTTGTCAGAAGTGTACTAGTTTTGATTACCATCCCAAATTTTCTGGAGAACTGCACAAGCACAACATCTTGAGACAAAATAAAGCAGTAACAGAACTTTGAAATTTCAGTAAGTTATTTCTTAAAATTGAACTTCAGAAAGAATACTGAACTATACTGTAGAAATTTTTACGTTGCTGTAGAAATAGCTGACTTTATTACGGTACTAAATTTAGCAACAAATTGAAGCTAAATGTTCATTAAAGCAAAGCTACACTTTAAAACTTGAAATAGTTCAGTCTTATAATCTAGGCGTATTAGAAATCTTATGATATGAAGCTCTATTCCACCAAAAATATAGATTTAAAATGGTTCGATAATAAGTCGATAAAATTAGAATTACATATGGAAATTTGTCAACTCACCTACATTCGCTTTACATAATACGTAAAAAATAATCAAATGACATACTGTTACAAATGAGATTTTCTGACTACTGATTACTTTCATATCGATTCATCTTATCAAATTCCATAACATTTTAAGCTTATTAAAACAGTAGAAAGTTCTTTAATATTGTAAATAATTCATGTCCTAAAATAAACTTTAAATGAGAAAATGTTTTACTGGTTGATATCGGTCTAACTTTCATGTTTTTCTCATTGGTTAAGAACTAGTTACAGTAGAATTGACAAATATCCGATTGGTAGTTTTTTTATTAAATATAACTTAATTGTGGATTTGTCCATAAACAAGCATAATACAATTTAGCCATTGATTATAATGATTGGAATGTGAGATTTTGTTAATAAAATAGTATTATTTATTCTTTTTCACGAACAATGATAATACATCTGATAGTTGGAAAAGTCAATGTAGGATAAAATTGAGAAAATTCATAGGTTTGATTATATAATGAAATGAACAAAATTTTCTTGATAGTAGTTCTTGTGCATAAAGGGGTATTTTATCTACAAGTGAAGTTAAATAGTGTTTAACCCAAATAGGATGTGAAAATGTATTTTTATAGTTGTAAAGTTACAAAGTGTACTTCCAAAACACTAAGAATATCTTCACCACGAAAGTTAGAAATGAAATACTTGGCAATGATTGATCTGCTTTAACCACTTATGGGATTCGTACGCTCAATTCTTAAATTATTATGTATTCAGACTACAATTAATAGTAATGGCGTACGTCTTCATACTATGTCCAGTCTAGAATATTAAATGATCTACTTTCTTTCACTTACTTACGCCTCTATTTATGTAATAATTAGCGTAGATTTTGTTTCACTAATTGTATTTTCCTTACTTTTTTGTTATTATTGTAGTATTAGAAAGTTTAACGGATTGAATTATCTCCATTTAGAGTTTTAAGGTTCATTTTCTACTAAACAACTAATCAGTCAATTATTAAACACAAAGTTCATAATAGACATATCAATGTATTTATACATAAACAAATTTTAGTAGGAATATTTGTTCAAATACAATAATTAATATACAGGTATTTACAGTACAATGCAGAGTAGATAAATTAAGAAAGTACCTAATACGAGGAAATTCCAAAACGAAATAAATAACAACGTAGAAATTCGGGCTAAAAGTGAGAAAAGTGTTTTATCACAGTATAATTTTGCGGGATAAACTATTGTACACGTCTTCTGTAGGTATTTAAAAAAAGAAGAGACCAAGAAGGAAAGAATGAAATCATGTAAATTATTCCGTTTATTAAATAAATAACAAAATCAAGTGAAAATAAACAGCAGAAGTGATGAGAAGAATGAAGTGGACGGGTAGAATTTTACCGGATTGACATCGCAGAATGAACAAATTATAAATTATCACCACTTTTTATTGTTTTAATTTATTCACGAGTATATGGAATTTTGTAAATAAATGCGGTGATTACTGAAAATGGTATTCAGTAGTATAGAATAAATTGAAAAATATTCAGCAGACTTGAAGCCATTATTTTGTTGATTTTAGTGGAAATTCATCATTTTGTTTCATCCCTGTAAAACCATTAGTCAAAGTAGATTTAGGTATCACGATCAAAGGATCAAGTAGTCGTTTAACATTGGTGAAATTTCTTTCCAACTCTTTATGATATTCTATCTGATCAGAGCCGATTAATGATTCATTTAGACGGAGAGCTTCATATGATCTATAATTAGGAATGAACAAAGGTGTAATAAGGAAAAAGTGAGTCAGCAAATTTTGTAAAAGTGGTTGCTAGTTCTAGAAAAGCACAACTTGACAAAAACTATCAGCACACATTTTTATAAAGTTATTTTCTAAGAACACGTCAATATTGGTTACAAATGTAAAACAGGGAATTAAGCTTAAAACAATTGACCTATATCTTATTTCCTTAAATACTGTTGAGTTTTTTAGATGATAGTTTAGCTTAACAGTATAAGTATAGATTCAGTATAATGTTGCTTAATAGCATTTAAGTCTAGTTTGACCAGCCTAACTTAAACACTGTGTTGTGTGCCTGTAAATGGGATTCTTCGACGTTAGCCAGATGTAAAATCATAAGGATACACTTCATTTCTCGATTTTTGTGCTTGTATGAAGCGTCTCGTAAATATCAAGACTGAACTAGTTCACTTAAGAACTATGAATAAGAATAAATGGAAGCTATCGAGTCAGTGTATGGAGTATCCTGTATAGAAAAATCACATATGTATGGATGAGTTTCTTGTTTTTATGTTCATAAATGTGTTGTACCGTAAAAAATAGTGACCTGTTGAGAGAATATATTCACAAGAATTTCCAGTGTACTTTAGTTAGTTACTAATTAACTTTATTATTCCTGCAGTTCATTCACTGAAATAAATGTTTAGTCATACGGATTGATTAAAAAGGTGTTTAGACATATAAGATCTGTGTTTTTTTGTCTGATGGAGCTATTTTAATCAAGTGATTTAACTGTTAATACTCTATTGACGATAGCAATATATATTAAGTTCTCATTTTTGCTTCAAATTACAAACACACCTACATATTTTTACAGTACTTTTTATTAAAACATATACATTTATAAATGATGCAGTGAAAAATTACTTTATAAGAAATTGTTGAAAAGTTATCCTAAGACGATTTTGTATATCTTCATATGTAGTGGAATTCAATGTTGTAGACGACTTATTCTTATCGGGAATTAATGATTTTAATGGTTTATTTTTTTCATGCCCCAAGAAAGTTGTTGCCATCTCAACAGGTCCTTGGTTGACCACAGTTCCGATGCATCCCTGAAAGAAAAAAAGCGTAATTATCAATATTCCCGATGAAATCTTACGAATTAAAAAACAAACAACATATTGTAGTAGGAGATTGGTGAAAACTTTAGAGATAATACAGATCGACATTGTAAGTTGTCACTTTTGTTAATGGGCGCTATGTCTTAGCATCGTAACTTCTCTTAAATATCCACTTCTAGCAACAGTTTGCCATATTTAAATATTATACAAAGCAATCATATTATTTTTGCAAAATATCCAAATGCATTATATATTTTTGTGTCTGCTGTTATTATCAAACAATAGTTTACTGTACTGATGCTCATGGACAATTTAGTGGGTATCCGTTTAGTGGTTTTTAAAACTTGATTTGTGAACAACTGTTATCAAAGTTTGTTTCCTTAAAATTTTATTCATGCTTAACGTGATTATCAGTACTACATAATACTGTTTCTGTGTACTGTACAATATCTGGTATTGTAGTGCGACCCGAAATCTGACTCCGATTAGATCGGACGAATGGTTGCTATGGTAATCTACATGCCACTAACCCTTGTATGTAGTCATTGACTTAAATCGCGTTAGCGAATAAAGGGATTAAATAAGTCCATTACGAGAATGGATTTAGAATACGTATATTTCATACAATCGTTGATCCAGACTAACAATCAGAAAAACGAAGCGAATCGGAGATGGCATGTGAACCAACTTGATCTAACCAAGGTTGAATCTATATTTATAGTTAGACAAAAAGAAGTTGCAGATTCATAATGAATAGGGTAAATAATTAACACGCTTTCATATACAAAAAAACAGTCAGGACTAATAGGCGAATAAGTGACAAGGTAAAAATGTGGCTTGAGAAGAATGAATAGATTGGTCTGTCCAGAAGCTAGAATAAACTATGTGGGCTTGAAATAATATCAGCCCCTACAGTACAAACACATTTCCCCTTGTGTAATTATCATTCAAAAAGTACTACATATCAACTACAACCTGTTCTCATTGTTACTTCCGTCAATAAAAAGGACCCTCAACTGGTATTTAACAGAGCTATTTCTGATCATCCAATAACCATTGGACCTTGATATCAGTATAACTAAGTATCGTGAAGTGGAATTTAGTCAGCAACAGCTCTAGTAACGAAAAACTCGTGGATACTTTGAACTATTATTTTAGAAGTATCGATTTATAAGTAAAAATTAGAAACCAAGGTATAAGAAGAGGTCAGTTCATGCCAATCACTTGGACTGTTTTTTCTTTTGCAAATCACCTACCAATACACGTTTAGGTATTCAACTCTGATCAACCTCTCGCTCTATACTAAATATGGAGAATCTTGCACAATGAAAGAAAAATATGACAATAATTATAAGTTTACAGTTCTAGAATGAAATAATGTAAAATTCGCCTGTACATTTTATATGATTAGAGTAGTTTGTCGAAATACAAAATGCAGAGGTCAGTTATTTAGAGAAATGTTGAACATAAATTTATTAATTAAATTAGCTAATTTTTAGGTGAACTACAACATCTATATACACACTTGTAATCACGGAAAGTTTTTAATTGAAATGAAATTTGAATAAATCACAACAACCTACTTGTAATAACATTTGTAAATATTTGACATCAGGTGGTTCTGTTGTTAATACTCGATCTAATTGTTCAACTCGATGTGTTATATCTTCTAAAGCAACTTCAATTGGGGTCAGAGTATGCGATTCAGTTGATACAACTAATAAACGTGTCTTCATATACGGAAAACATCGGGATGTTGTTAGGATGTATTTTCGCTTGTATTGTGTACTTAAACTACCATGAGCCTGTCCATCAATTGTGAACGGTAGCGAAAGAACAAAACGTTCTGAAAAAAAAGTGATAGTAAAATCCCATCACAATAAAATACTAAATTTTGAAGTAACACACTAAAAATAGAAATGTACCAACTCTTCAGTAAATGAATTCCAATCTACTTACATTAGGTAAATACTGTGTTTATATTGTCGTATGGATAGGAATTAAGTTTAGTTCATTAAGAAAAAATTGAAGAGATTTTAAGAAGAGACAGTACAACAAAATATTCAACTACAAATAGATTGTTAATAATTGTTTAAGATAAAATATTAGAGAAAGTAGCATTGTCAAATCGTTCTTTTTCTTAAATGTTTTTTTTGTCTTGTTTAATTAATCAACCTTATTCACATGTAATCTGTAAATATATTTCTTTGATCCATACACTAAAAACAGGGAAAGTTTACTTTATCCCTATGGTATGTAGACTATTTAACGCCACGCAATAAATGAGATGGTGAATAGAAAGAATCGGGAAGATGAGTGTAGTAAAG